AAAAAAAATTATAAATATGCATCTTAAGTATGTTTTAATTTATCATTCGCTAGCTTCAATTGATATAGGACATTTATTAATTTTATTATTATTATTTTTTTTTTTTTACTTTTGGATGGAATGTGAGCTATAAGCTTTCTTGTTGTGTAGTATTATCTTTTTTTTATACGTAAAACATCATTCTTACCTCTTCTTTAGTTATTACAGTACTAATAAATAAAAACGGACTTTTTCAACCTAGATATATCTTTTTTAAAAAAAGGAACACTAATTATCATAAGTTAAATCATAAATACAATGAATATGTTATATTTTGTATCACTGGCAATAATTTTCAAAATAGTTAACTGCACACAATATTATATATAGTGCAAAATTGTTTAATTTGATTTGGAGTTACTTTTACTGTAAACAAATGATAAAGTTCCAATGAAACATGTTACAACGAAATTTTAATGAAATTTTTTTATAAGAAATTGCTTTGTGTGAATAATACAAATAAATAGATAGATGAGTAATGGTAATATAGCGAGATTATTTATTGTTAAAATTTTATTAATTTTCAAAGTATATAGGCATATCATGATTATCCATATATTTTTAATTAATTTATAGATAATCATATGATCTAAATTAAATCATGTTGCTCAAGTGGTATTCCATTCGACACATGAAAATAAATAGTATGGGTTTTAATTTTATACAAATTCATAAAATTGTTCTAATCTTATTTTAAGAAAGGAAATTTAGTATATTAGAAGTTTAGGCTGCAAAATAACAATTCAACCGTTCTCATACTACTACACAATTTATTCTTTTTTATAGGTTATTTTGAAAAACAAAAAATGTTTCTATACTTTATGGGCATTATGAGGAAAAATATTATCGATTTCAAATTTCTTACTTATATAAGTTATAGTTTGTCTTTTATATTTTTATGATCTATTCTAATTTTTTGAATAATTATTTTCAATTAATCAATCACAAGAAGTACATTACATAATGGACAGTGTCAAATATATTGAAAGTTGAAAAAATAATATTTAAAAGTAATAGTGAAAAAGATTGCATGAAAATTTTGATTGAGAAACCTTCATTATCCAAGTTAGTCTTGTTTATTCGAAATCTTTTTTGTTTGGGGAAGATTGACAAATATGAACATTAAAACTAAATTAAAATCTTTGACATGAATAATTGCATATGATAGTTTACAATTTTGTCTTCTTATCTTGTTGAAAGAGACCATTCTTTGTCATTATTTTTATTGATAAAATATAGCAGTTATAAGTCAACTGCCATATATGTTAGCAAAGTTTTTATATATTTGTTCATATCATCTTCTCCTTTTCCAGTAAAATAGTTTTTGTATGCTTTTTTTTTTTCTTCATTGGATCTTATTAATTATATATTTTCGTGAGTTATAAATATATATTAATATTCAAGGTTTGGTTGAATTTCATTTTTTTTTTTCATTCAAATACTATTATATTTTCCATGAACTATTACAAACATATGGTACACAATTTGATTTAGATTTCAATAGTCTTAAAAGATAATTTAAAAACATTAAAGCAATTATTTGGTAAATTGTATTGTTTTTTAATTTTTTGCTTAAGAAATAAAATTTAAAGATTCATATTATGTATAATTAGCGATAGTTTTGGCCTCCATATCACATTTAATACTAACATAATTGTTATTAATAAACTTATAAAATTAAATAAATATTGCTAAAAAATTTATCTTATATACTTATGGTTAAATAAACTCTTAAAATTATTGAGAAAATCACAAAAATATTTACAAATCTTAAAATAATGTCAATAAATAAAATATTTAATATACAAAAATTTGAATTATCATTGTTTATAGAGCGCTCATCTTGAAAATCAATTGCTCATGTGAAGCAATAATATTTTTTATTAGTTTTTTCTTTATCTATCATACTGAACGCGTTATTTATTTATTTATTTTTATTTTTTATTTTTTATTTTTTTTGGTACAGAGATACATTGTTTGTATAAATTTTTTTAAAAAAAATGAGTATTTGGTAAGGTAATGTCATAATTTTGTTTTTTCTGTACACTAACTTAACATTTTGATAATTTTTAAAAGTTTGTTCAAATTTTAATATCATTGAAAATCTTATTTAAATAAATGTAAAATTTAACGTTTTGATAATTTTTAAAAGTTTGTTCAAATTTTAATATCATTGAAAATCTTATTTAAATAAATATAAAAAGTTTCAGACAAAAAGTGAAAATGGGGAGTAACAAGATATTCAAAAGGGAGAAATTTTGATAAATAGACGGCATTGATAATTGGGCCAAACCAACATACATAAACCCCAAGATCTAGAATGTGTTTAATTAAAAATATTAGTATAGAATGGGGTATTAAATTACAAAATTGACATTATAAACATGACAAAGTAAGGTTAATTTAGGGATATCATATTTTTACAGATTCATTGGCTCTTTTATAATAGTATAGACTAGTAAGTAGTGAAGTGTTTTTTGCATGTTATTAAAACTATTTATTTTGTAAAATGAATTAATTTTATGAAGCTAAATTGAAATATTATAACTTCATAACTAGTAATCTCACACTACGTATTTGCACGTAGACATGGCCAAATCTGGTTCCAGGTCCGGTTTTTGGGTCGGGACCGTCGGGTCCGGGAAGGGCTGGCCCTGAACCGCTCCGATCATATGCACGGGCCGGTTTGGCGAATCGGCGGTTCCAGCTGACCCGGTTCATTAAAAAATTTAAAAATAATGAAAAATATATATACCCGGAATTGGCCCAACGGTTTATAAAGTACATATATTAGACTTGGTATTGGCCTGGTCAAACCACGGACACGGTTCAAGGCCCATTCACCACGGGTCGGTCGGTGGCCATGTCAATTTGCATGGAAGGCGTAAAATTTAATTTAAGTTAATAATTCTTCCAGAAACACCTTATTTATAAACATGGCCAAATCCTGAGCCGGGTCAACGGGTTAGAAATCTACGATCCTGGACAGGCTCGTACCTAGGTAAGGTCGGGTAAACTGCTCAGCGGGTCGGGCAAGGCCCAACCCAAATTCTAAACCCGTCCTAAAAAAATATTAAAAACCTTCGATTTTTATCTGGCTGGCCCAGCCCGATGGGTCATATGTTAAAAATTGCGGACCCTAAATCGACCAAGTTAAAATTTGTGTCGGGCCTAGACCTGTTGTCCACGGGTCTGATCGGGCCAGGTCAGCGGGCCAGACGGCCCGTGACCATGTCTAACCGTATCATAATAATATTATTATATTATATTTATAAAAAAACATGTAGTCATTTTATCATTCCAAATTTCAAGTAA